AAGCGCTCGGCACTAGAAGTGAAAGTCACGGGTATGACCTTAAAAACGTAAGTCCCGTGTCACAGTAGGCTTTGGCGCGTTAAAGAACCCTCACTGCTCAATGACCCTGAGTGCCGAGTATAGGAGTAAAGCCCTTCACCGGCAAACGGTGACGTCTCCATATGAGTGAAAAATTCTCGAGTGGGACGTTAAACAATATACAATCAATCAATCAATGTACCCTTCCACAAGCAAGTTATGACTCCTCAATATGAATGATAAAAAATTCCCGAAAGGACTTGAAACAAATATTTTTAAAAACTTTTTCCGACCTAAATTTGAATATCCACTAATCTTTGATGTCATTTGTTTAAAAATTTACCCATGGGTAGGATTTTACGACGGGTGACGTAAACAATAACAAAATGGTATTGCAATACACACTTTAATGTGATATTTATCAACATGTTTTCCACTGACTTGTTTATGTATCACTTTAAACTGCACTTCCCTTTCACTGTTGACAAATAAAGCATTGCCAAAAATATTTTAAATGAGTTCCTGTCACGATGAAATGAATATTACACAGATTAATTATGCCATAGTCCAGTAAATTATTTTTTACTTTGTAACTGTTCTTTTAGTTGTGCTTGTTTACTGTAAGTTCTTTTCATATTGGTATCCACAATTTCCATTGCTGACGTATTGGTCCTTTGGGATTGGAGGTTTTTATTCCTGTCGGTAAAGTTGCTACCAGCACCCTTGCGTTCCTCTTTAATACTAGTAAGAAATCTAATTTTCTGCGACTCAGTAAAATGACTGTCAATGCCATTGGTTCTTTTCACCGGAAAATCCAAACTCCTTGTTGTTGAAGCTTTTGGAAATTCTCTCAGAATTTTCGACTTCTGGAATTGCCTTTTACAGGTATCTCCCACCAAAGGTTTATATTCAATCGGCGCAAACGACGCGTATTCATCAGAAATTGTGGGGGATTTGGGAATGTTTGGAAGTTTTGGATACGGGAATAAAACCAGTGATCTCTGATATACTTCATGGTCACTGAAACAATCCCAGATGGAATTTGTTGATGGCTTCATGTTTCAATAAATCAACACGCAGTGGTACCTGATAAAAAGATTCCAAATATCTAACCACTATGGAGCAAAATTCATATGTTCCAAATGTTCCACAATTAAGCTGGTTTCATGGCATTTTCAGTATAAAAAGGAATGGTCCGTTCTTGTTGTTTATGACTGGTCAGTGCAAACAAAGAATAAGTAGCTTAAAATTGACCAATGACAGATTAAATATGTTAATCTGGAGCTGTTTATGTAATACATATATTAAGTCAATTACAAAGATTTATGCCGTCGTCCTGATTCATTTAAATGTAAGATTTTACGACTTGATTCTCGTTGTACGCTTAATTATCGATAAGATTGTTAATAGAGTAACACAATACATAAAACATTTATGTATTAACCATTATAAATTAACAGGGATTGATGGTCCACTCCTATTCTGCAATTATTTTGGTCTTAAATGTTTCGGATAAGGTTTGTTAAAATAACGATGCTTTTTTGTAACTTCTACATACATGTATTGATTTTGCAGATGAAGTTTTAGTTATTGAATCGCCCAGGTCATTCCTTAATGTTAATCTGATAACATTTTGACTGGAATCTTTATGCACTAAATTAAAATTTCTCTTTCGTCTAGCTTAACTGATAACCAGACTGAGGCAATAATTAATTACACATATCATTCTTTGTAATTTTTCTCGATAGAGGAAAATTTAATTTTTGAATTTTTATTTATACTAGAGGTGTAAACATGAGGTTTAAAGTCTACGCAGTGTTTTATACACCAGTTTATTAGATATGCATGTAACAATGTTGATGACATACCTTTTTAATTAAACACTTAAAATAATAGATTTGACAATGAATGTGCAATTTTGCTGAACTCAAAAGGTCAAAAAAGTGTCCAAGGTCATATTCAAAGTACTTCAATATCCGATTAAGAACATTTTTCACATAAACTAAAAATCTACATGCATAAAAAAGATGCTCAGACGGAAAATTTGAGAAGCTCGGTAATGTGAACAAGTATATATACAATGTAATGTCCTGATTAACGATTCTAAATTTAAGATTTTACAACTTGATTCTAGTTGTACACTTAATTATCGATAAGATTGTCAACAGAGTTACACAATACATAAAACATTTATGTATTAAGCATTAAAAAATAACAGGGGTTGATAGTCAACTCTTATTCTGCAATTATTTTGGTCTTAAATGTCCGGATAAGGTTTGGTTTTAACGATGCAATGTTTATTTACGTCTATAGAGTGATTTTTCAGATGAAGTTTTAGTTATTAAATCGATAAGGTTATTCCTTAACGTTCGTCTGATAACATTTGACCAGAATCTTTATGCGCTAAATAAATTCTCTAAGAATTTCTCTTTCGTCTAGTTTAACTGCTAGTCAGATTGAGACAATAATTAATTACACTTATTTCATTCTTTTGTACTTTTTCTCAAAAGAAGAAATTTTGATTTTTTATTTATATTTAAGGTTTAAACATGAGGTTTAAAGTCTACATAGTGTTTTATACACCAGTTTATTTGATATATATGCAACAATGTTGATGGTATATTTTTTTTAATTAAAGACACAAAATCCTTTTCGGAAATAACAAATATCACAAAATAATAGATTTGACATTGAATGTGCAAATTTGCTGAACTCAAAAGGTCAAAATGTGCCCAAAGTCATGTTCAAAGTACTTCAATACCCGATTAAGAACATTTTTCACAAAATTAAAAAATCCATATACATAAAAAGATGCTCAGAAAATTTTAAAAGTTCGGTAATGTTATCAAGTATGTATAATGGAGATATGACTTATTAAAAAAGTAAAAATGGCACAATGTTTAAATATAAACAAACCATAGCTTTACTTCTTAATCATATTTCTCAGTGCTGCTTGTTTATTGTATGTTCTTTCCATATCAGATGTCACCTTTTGTACAGCAGTTGTTTTCTGGCGATTGGTTGGCCTATTTGATGTTTTCGAAAACACTTTACTTGTTTTCTTTTGATATTCGCTGTCAGAATTACAAGCACTATATCTGTTCAAAGAATCTGAGAACCTTGTGGTTCTTCGATTGTCTACTTTTGTAACCCCGTCTGTGAAGGAGTCTTTCTCTGCTGTGTTGCTTGGAACTTCTCTCAATAACTGAGCTTTCAGAATAATTCTCTCACCCACTAACGGCTTGTATTCATACGAAGAGGGATTCGTAACTAAGGTATCCAGAGCTTTGGCATGTGTTTGAGATGGAAACAACACAAGGGATCGTGCATAAGTCTTACTTCCACAATCAGAAAGGGAATTTGTATCCTTTGATTCCTGACCTTGTCCTTCCAATAAGCTAGGTCGAATTTCATGAAGACTTGTCTGACTTTTATAGAACCATTTTGGGGTCGGTCTGAGAGATCGCTTAAGATGTTCTGTCGTATCTCCATAGTCCTGCTTATTTGTCGTCACGAATGTAGAAGAGGGAAGCGTGGAGGCAGGTGCTTGAAACTTGAGCGAGTTTCTTCTCTTCTCTGAAACTGGTCTAAAATTATAGTTGGATCGCTTCACTTTTTCTGCGACCTTTGATTTATTCCTGTAATCAAAGTTCGTATCTGGAGCAAACGAAATTTTCACAGGGGAAACCCTAGGTGTGTACCTGACAACCGTGTCAACCGGAAAATCGGTCTTATTGGGATATCTCACAAACACGGCGTCCGGAGTATTCTTATTTCCTGGTTTCAAATCCGCAGATACGCTGTTATACACTATAGAGCTTGTCATTTTCAATGTATTAAAAATGTTGTTACATATATGTTAAATCCTTCCACTACCTTCAGTTAAAATATATTTTCCCGATCACGATAACAGCATGTTTGATTGTCGATATGAGCTCAAAAGAAACAGCACTTTTACATATCAAAGATATTTTCAGGTGTACTGAAATGGAAGAAACGTTTTGTCCTGGCAAAAATCTTGTTCTTTCTTTGTGGAGAAACTAATCAATGTAGGTGCACTGAAATCTGTGTTTCATTCATTCTTTACACCAAGGAGTATCTCTGGTTATTAAGTTGAGGAGATTTAATCAAGTGCTTAAGACTGAATTAAAATTTAAATATTTCAAAGCGGTTGAACATTCACTAAATAAATATTCACCTTTGTTCACAAAATGAGATTAAAAGTATTTAGATAGAATTCAAACAATGAGTTTTATCGACCTAAACATATGACAGACAAACAGCCCCAATCTAAAATGACAACATTAACAATACAAGAAGTGTTTTATTGTTACAAACCAATTCACAAACACATTATATCATTGTGATTTTTTTGAGCAATTTAAATTCATTTTCTTTTCAAGTATGACCTTTACTTTTTTAAATTATCATTCTGTGTTTTAGAAATAAAAAAAAATCTATGAATCAAACACACTCTGATAACATTTAATCACATAAGTAAAATATTACAATGTATGCATGTATAAGATTAAAAACGTGTTGTAATTGTACAATTGTAAAATCGTTTTTTTTTAAAATATTTATTATAATAGTTTTTAAACAAACTTTGACGGATATGAAATGACCTATTACGATCTAATGAAGGGGTATTTTCTTTGTCCACATCTTTTTCATGACAAATAAATTCTTGATTTCACTTCACAATTATTCGATATTAGTTGACAGTGCTTTTAATACATCACTTCAATATTTGAATGGATCTAAATGTATGAATGCACTCAATAGGTAGACTAACGTAGACTAACATAAAGTTGGTTTTGAAAATGATTTTATATTTCAAAGTGCATTCAACAAATGCATTTTGTGTTACAACTATTCATACTTATAAGAAGTAATTAAAACACCTGTTTGTATTTAATCACTTTATACAGCTCTTAAAACATACATGTAATTGAATTCTCAAAAGCTCTTTTCCCGCTACATTGGTTTTAATTTATTGTCTACTTGTTTTGTACTTCCTTTAAGAGAGCCAATCGTTTTCATATCGTATTCATATTTTTTCATACTTCTTCAATATCAGAATAATGAAAATGAAATATAGATAAAACTTTATCATATTGTAATAAAGAAAGTACTATAAAATCACATTTTTGTGGGGTCATATTTTCGAGGTTTGAGGAAAAAATATTGATTGAAGGGATTTAATTCCGAGGTCGAAAAGTGTTGAGTAATAATTTACATTTCATGGTGGTCATGAATTCGTTGGTTTCTCCATATCTATTTTTTTTTCTTTCTACGAAACGTTATTTGTCTCCCGAATGAATGAGTGGTCAAAACGAGCGGTGCATAGTTGAGGTGTAAGGAGTTGATCCATGCGCTCGCAGGTTCGAATCCCATCGCAGGGTATTGAGATTGGTCTTCAGATAAGACCAAATCAATTCTTCCGTGTCGCAATAAACACAGTAAAAAAGATTCCTCACCGCTCAATATCCCCGATAGCATAGGTCTAAAGTTTACAGACCTCCACCGGCAAATGGTAGCGTATGAGGATATAATTCTCGAAAGGGTCCTTAACAAACAACACAAACCAAAGCTTTTGGAGTTTATGATAAAAATCAACAACGATTTGTGAATGTGTAAAACATCCCTGGTTACAATAAACAAATACAGATCTCACGGTGCAAAAAGAAAGAAAGAAATTAACTTTTACTTCTGTCACTCAGATCGTCAAAACATTGTTATGTATGATAAAGCGAACAAAACACACTCATGTTTTCTTAATGCTTGCCAATAAGGACATCGTAGAAACTTATTTCGCCGTCGGAAATAAGTAAAATAACGTATAAAACGTAGTATCTAAATAAGTTAAATTAAAAAAAACAGTCATTGAAACAAAGATACATAACTGTTTTATAAAGCATTAGACCACAGAGCCACAAGAAGGTTATGAACACTGTACATAATTGTTAGGATAAGGTTCATTGAGTTTTCTAATTTCATAATAAACTTATCCATGTTAAATTTGTACGGTGCACTGATTGATACATTTTTAAATTTACGTCTTTTCGTTACTACTTTAATGGCTTTAGAACACAACCGTTGACATTTGGAACATACGTGATCTACGATACAGAACAACAGTCACAATTCCTGGCATTTTCCTCCGAGGGATTGTCATATAAACGCTGGTCCGCCTTATTGGACTTGTTGGCTTCTTTCCTGGAATTGAAAGGCGAACATTCAGCATATATTAGGCTTATCAAAAGAAAGTAAAATACACCTGAACATGCGGAGTATACAACGTGCATCATGTCAATTAGTTTAAATTTTCAAATGTACGTTGATATAATTTAAAACATTGTTATCTGTGTAACACAGCCTTTCTATGCTCTGCTTGTTTTAAAATGTGTTTTCTCCTCATTACACGAATTCTTTGCAAGCATATTTAATCATCTATTAAATTGGTTATTATTTAAATACGGATATTTATGTTTTAATTGTTTGTCTCTAGTGTGGTGATTTTAATGAACATTTTTGATTTGATAGAGAGGAGAGGACAACTTTACCCTGAATTATGATGAGTGTTTTATGTTAATTATCAAGCAATGAAATTTGAATGATACATACTGTAAAGTCTCTTTCCTTAATGTTTCTATCTTTTCTGTGAAAAAAAATTGTTATGATAGTTATCCTTTTGAGCATTTATGCAACAATAATGCTTCATTCTAACATGGTGACTGTAGATGTGCATGTGTATGTCACTCTTAACATGACAATTTACACATGATATTTCGTTAACTTAATTAATGAATGAACTACATTTATTTAATCTACTTCAAATAAAAAGCAATATGATGCATGCACCCCGTTTGCAATTTAAGGGTCTTTTAAAGAAGATAAACTGTTACACTATTAAAACGTTTACGGAAGAAAAAATATTTTACTCATTCTTATTTAAAATAGTAAGTATACCCATATTTTTCATTCTTGTGACTTTCATATTCTCATAGTCTTCACTTTGGGGTATTTTATTAACACTGAAACAGCAAAAAAATATTTAAAATTAAACCTCAGAATAGAAGAAAGCAAGAGGCCCGTGATGAAAGTAAATGAATTTGCTCATTTTTCAAGAACCAAAGAGCAAAAAGACACAAAAGAACTAAAAAGATTTTACCTTGTTACACACCCTGTGTTGTTTCCCTTGCTGGCTTGTTGAACTTGACATTTGCATTTGATATTTGGATTCCCTGATAAATTATATATTGTGTTGTTATTTGGAAATTGTCTATAGTTGCTCATTTAAATGGAATGTTAAGATGTTAAATTTAGGTATCATTTTTTCTTAATTAAAGAGAAGTAGATAAATTTTTATCCAGTCTTTACAATGAGTATTATTCGCGTTCATTTGAAATGGTTTACCATTCAATTGGCATTTGATGCATTTCTTGTCGGACATAAGTATATATCCTCTCTCTGTGACATCTGAGTCACTGAAAATAAAAATAATGTTTGTGTACTTTGTTACATATTTCTATAGAAAATGCACGAGCATTGAGACACATATCCATGCATATCTATATACAGTCTTTAATCAATTTCATCCATCCATAAAAACATTCATACACACAAATATACAGATGTACCTTTTGCCTTGTGGAACATTTTCATAAATTTCTGCTGTAATTGAAAGAAAACATTTATGGTAAAGTATACGTATATATTTCCATTGCTATTAACTTTTTTTGTTCTTCAAAAGCCTTTTTCATGTACATTAGATAATATCTTTACCCTAATGTTCTCAATAAATTTCTGATTTAAGTATCGTTAACAAATTAATTACATTTATTTTTGAATTTTTCGTATACAAAAATTGTAATCGAATAATCTTTGCTAAAAATACAATAGAAATGACATGATTATGACGTTTTTTACCCATTCACTAATAATTAATGATTGGACATTTTTAAAATACATACCATCTCCCATATTAATTCATAATAATATATTTTCCTTGTGAACTTTTGCCTTCAGTTGTGCTATCTTGCTATCAAAAACTGTTTTATGATCTAAGCTGCTTTACATATAGCACAAACTTCCCTCAAAAAACAAATGAATATCCTTCAAACTTCTCTGCAGAAAGAAATTGAACTTTATCAAATACTCATATATACTTCTCATTCTATTATTTTAAAATGTGCTTTAAGAAAAAGTCCGTAATATGCTTTCCCGTTAGGTATTAATTCCATTTATTATAATCAAAAGATAACGGTATTAATTGCAATAATCGTGTTGAACTTCATGAATTTAAAATCCAGAAGAAAACTTCGATATTTCATGTCTCATTTTCTTTAATTTAGTCATATGAAAGAATGATGTGTTTTGGATACAGACCTCTAATAAAAGATATGGATGCTCTTATTTCTACTTTCACAACGAGTTGTCATCTTCCGGGAGATAAATATTAAGAGCGAAGTTGATCATGCAAACAAAATCGCGCACAATGTTGGAAAACGGGAAATTTAAAGCAGGAAATCATTATACTTTTTAATTACATTTTCCTGAAAATGATTGAACAGAAATACATTTCATGAATGTTAAATACAAAGGGAAAGAGGTGATAAACCTTTTTCAAAAAATTATCGAAATCCAAAGGAGATAATATCAATATTCGGTGTTATAATTGGGAAACTTACATTACGACATCCATTTTTGCTATTTGCTTTCAATTTTCTATTCTTTAATTTTGTCATACTTTTTATAAAAAAAAAACTTATAGATGTGTTTTGGATACAGCACAACCAACCTCTGATATTACATACTTTAAAACAAGATATGGCATAACTTGCTAAATGACGTATTGCTGAAAGTTTTCGTCAAAGAGTTTTTCTTGTATTCCTCAGGTTTTTTATTCATTCCATCAAGTTTTTTGACAGAAGTGTTATTTATAACCTGGCACCAATGTTCCTCATGGGACGAAGTTTATAAAAGTCTATAAAAGTGTTAAATTTTTCATTGAAGATGGTTTGGTTTTCGAAATAGATTTATTTTAAATAATCATGCAAACAAAATCGCGCACAATGTTGGAAAACGGGAAATTTAAAGCAGGAAATCATTATACTTTTTAATTACATTTTCCTGAAAATGATGACATCAAAAATATTGAAATAGTATCATAACATGAGAATCGATTCACGAAATACATTTCACTTGAGGGAGCGATAATATTAAATATAAAGGGAAAGAGGTGATGAACCTATTTCAAAAAAATATTTAAATCCAAAGGAGATAATATCAATATTCGGTGTTATAATTGGAAAACTTACATTACGACATCCATTTTAGCTATTTGCTTTCAATTTTCTATTTGGGTTGCAAATATTTTAAAGACATCCCATGTATATTTTACAAAGAACTTCTTTGGCATAACTTTAAAAAAAAGACAAGATTGTATCTATAATTTTCCCTAAACGTATTGCTGAAAGTTTTCGTCAAAGATTTTTTCTTGTATTCCTCAGGTATTTTTAATTCATTCCATCAAGTTTTTTGACAGAAGTGTTACTAATAACCTGGCACCAATGTTCCTCATGGAACGAAGTTTATAAAAGTTTATAAAAGTGTTAAATTTTTTCATTGAAGATAGTCTGGTTTTCTGAGAAATATTTGATTTATTTTAAATAATTGTGTTTTAAACTATCCAACTTGACACCAATATGTTTCTCAATTTTCAAACTGTTACTACATGTAACTTGTTGAGGTATCTCTAACATAGCCATTGCCATTGCAGCTTTTAAAATGAAAGAACACATTATCCATGATTATTCTTAAATGACCGTGCTAAGTGACCAAACATGATACAGAGCTCCCATGAAAATTCTAATCTTACAAAATATTACGTTTTAAAACTTTGCCTTGATTGTTTGTTATATAATTCCATTTATTTGCAGTACATGTTATTTTACAATTGTAAACCCTGAAATTCAAAGAGGATTAAAATAAAACTACTTGTTGTTATATACATATTTAATCAATAAACTCATTTACAAAACGGATTGTAAAGTTAACGCCCATCAAACAACTGAACTATAAGGCAAACCGGAAGACTTGAGCATTTCCATCATCAATCTCCCACGTTCACTTAGTAACAAACTATATGTACTTATCACTTGCAGTTGGTGTTTCCATCTTGTTGAATCTAAAGAAATAGCACGCTATTTCTTCGAACGATTTTTAAACCGAGACAGACTACAGATAAATAAGTAAAAGTTACAGGGCATTCAAAAATCTCTTCTGAAATAAACATTATGCTAATTCTATTACTTATATTGAGCTCCATTACATATACAGCATATTGTGAGTTTGTATTTTGACTCACATATTTCAAACATCATCTGTTAAAACGCAGCTTTAAAGTAATTTTTACGGTTACATAAACAGTACAGAGTTTTCACAGCTAATGTGACTGGTCGACATGGGATGCTTACTTCTCATAGCCACCCGAATCACCTCTGATAATTCGAGGAGTCAGTATTCGTGCAATTTTGTATTTTCAAAGGTTTATAAGTTCAATAACTGATAATAATTCCCACCTAATAATGTTCGGTATCCTCATTTATTTTTCTTCTACATGCATTGCTCAGTTGGATTTTTTAATTTAATTTGTTAAGATCCCTATTGAATAAAAATAATGAAATTTTCTTTTTTCCATATCCTTCAGTCTCTAAGCTGGAATTGGACAAGATAATGCATGAATAAATAAATTAGAGAAAGAGAGAAGGGGGAGGTATATCAGAGGCTGGAGTACTTTTTTTATTTAAAAAATGTCGACAATCAGTTTCCATAATCCAGAAACTCAAACCAAACGTTTCAGGAAAAGGGTAATCCGTGGTCTATTCCTATATTATGTCAACGAGACAAAGACTGTGTTTTGATATATAACGATAGAAAGTTGACACCACGTGAGGCTTTCTCATGGGTCAAAATGGTCATAACATTTGACCGGGAAAACTGCAAATTTATATGTAGGTTTTCGTGTTCAAAAAATATCCTGGAGGTATATGGTTAACAGACTTCTCTGACTGATTTGTGACAATTACAATTTGCCCCTTGTTAAATTATTGCACCTTATATATAATGAGGAGTCATCATCTTGCGTAATACACTTTCTGTTATAGCTCGTCACGAGTGCAAAAGACATCTACTAACTATGTGAACCTTTTCCTACTTCCCCAAAGTGATTCATTTCTATAAACGTAATGAAAAAATACAAGAGCCTACGCAATATTTGTTTTAATTTTTAAAGGAAATATCTATCGCTGATTTTAAAATATATATTTTACTTTTATACATATATCTTCAAATAATTGATGATTGATGTGTTAATGTTTTTTTAAACTATAATATATATCGCTGACACTTTACTAAAGTAATTTGTTTTTAAATATAAGAACAAATATTAAGTAATGTACTTCAGGCTAAAAAAAATATGCTTGTATTAAAAATCTACATTGAAAGGCAATATCTATAATTATTAAAAAAATAAATTTGCATTAATTTTTTTAACATTCATTTTGAAGACCAAAAATTTTAGATTTTTTTAAATATATTTCAATTATGCAACATTAAGAAATTGTCCCATTGAACTCAACGTCTGCAGGTGATCCTCTCATTATCTGTAGTCTAATTATTTTGACAAGCGGTTTTAACGCCCTAATAATTGTGGTAATGGGGTTTCGACCTCACGACTCTATAAATCAATGAAGTTCTGAAAAAAAAAACTAATTCCGGTGATTTTCGTTTATTGAAGCATTTCTCCGGGGAAAAATTTTAAAAGTTTTGATTTACAAAGAAGTTTTAAGAGCAACTTAACGAAACTGTTCTTTTTCAGTTTTCCCCTTCTATTTGATAACGTCTACAGTCTATAACGGTTGTATTTGTTGTTCACATTTTTATTTTGTTTTTGTTGTACATAATCTGTGATAAATCCAGCATTCTATTTTTAAGAAACTAAATATAGATAAAATGTTCACATTAAGCACGGGGCTTGTTCCCGGCTTGTAATAATAATTTATTAAAAACTTAAACGAAATACTAAAACAGTATTTCGTACATGACTTTTCAATTAATACATGCACTAGCAATTATAACATGCCAGGAGCAAGCCCCTGTGAATAAAAGGAAAATAATCACGATTAAACAAAATAAAAACAAACCAAAGGAAAAAATCAACAGGGTGTCTATGGTTTTTTCTCAGTATGGATTAAAATTGAAATTATTAAAAAAAAAACTGATTTTTTTTTTGTTCAATTTAACAAAATTGTACATTTGGCTCTTCATTAATACTCAAAAAATATCGCTAATGTCTTGTTTACGACCTCTTGCTGTTATATTTATTTTTGTATAGTATCAATTTATTTGTAACGTGTTTTATAAATTTATAAATAATAAAAAATAGTCACTGTGTTGCTTTGTAATTTAAAAATAACTGAATTTTAGAATTTCGCAATCAAGTGTCTGATATGTTCAGTTACTCTTCACAAACATATTTTAAGTTAAATACCTTTTTTAAAAAAATTATAATAAATCGAACTCTGAACCCACTGATTATGATAATCCTGAGAACAGGGAGATTTTTTAATTAGCTTAAGTCCAGGAAGATATTTCTATATTTGAGCTTAATTATAAAATAATTAAACATGATTCTCAATTTAAAGTTCAAGCATAATATTGAAATAAAAATCGATAAACAGGGAAATTTTGTAACCCTTGAATGTGCTCCTTGACAACTAAACCTGAACAGAATATTTAAATAGTTTAATTAGACTTATCTAAAGTAAAAGATGGAGATAACGAACAGTGAAAAAAAATCATGAACATATGACAAAGTTATCATGAACAGGGTAAAATCAGGGACTCCTTGAATTAAGGTAGGATCATGTGCCTAGGAGAAGTAAACAACCCCCAACCGCTGAGGGCCCAATGTATTGATCGTGGAGAAGAAGTACTGCGTCGTCATATTTAATATAACAGTAATGAACTTACTAATGGTGTAAAACATGTCGAACCAAAAAAAAAAAAAAACAATCCAAAGATAGGTCGTTTTACCACCAAGGTCATTATGAGGGATTGTAGGATTATCAAAAATATTTTGGAAAAGGTTGTTGAAAATCCTCTAAAATTAATTGATTTTTCAAAAGCTTGGCTCGGTGTAAAATTGATCGTACACAGAATATGTTCTTGTGTATTCAGTTGAGAGACATTGACATCATTTGCTAGACAGATTGAAATATTACAATGCATGTAAATATAACTAGAGTGAAGGTTTGAAAATCTGAAGTCATCTCGATTGTCAAACAGTTAAATTATTAACTGGTCCTCGTCGTTTATATATATTAATTAGAACGTCTTCACATGAACCAAATGAACCATGCATCTAAAGAAAACGTCTTAAAAACGGGAAACATTCTGGAAGTTGGTGAATTTACTTAGTGTTCTGTGCTTATCTTCATTCTTTTATAATCAAGAGAGGAAAGGAAAAAATATAAAGGTATAATTACCAAAAGTTAAAAAATACGTTTGATTCATTTTCTTTCTACTTCTGCCGTCAGATGTAAAGTATTGCACTTACATCAGAAGTTTCGCGTTTATAATACAGTGAGAGTAACCATCCACAAAAAAATTTATCATATGACTTACAAGGGGAGAAATATTCGTACAGTCAATAACCTGCAAAGATCTCAGTGTATTGTCGTAGATATTGACGCATTTGGTGACGATGATTGTTGTTTTTATTGATAATATTTCTTATTGATTTTCCTGTTATTCGTTTTGGGTGTTTATTTTAATTATGTTTCAATTAAAATACAGAAAGTAAGATAATGTTAAAATAATGAATCACTTAAAGTGCAAATCCTTTAGAAGGATTATGAAGTTCGTGAATTAAGATAATTTTTAATTTAAACAGCTACTGGCAAAATTATTACAGTATATTTGTACATAATTAATACATTGAGACCAAATATTATAATTTATTCAAATCTGTACTGCAGAATTTATATTCATAAGCTCACACAATCAACAATATAATAAATAATAAGAACATAAATTAAAATTATTAGATACAAACTTTTTTTTTCAAAACAAATGACAACTGAATTGTTTTCTCGGTGGGTAAAAATTCACCACATTGCAACGTACGAACATCACATGATAGTACGATGTAGTGGAAAAGAAACAGGCAGTGTAACTCACTTCTCTTGGTATGTATGATGTTTAACATCTTTGGACCATCGCTTGGTACCTTTTATGTTGATCCTCTGACATACCCTTGAGAACTATAGTGGCTTGCATGCTCGGTATTGTACCTCTTGTCTAGTTTGCCCTATTCCAAACTTTTTTTAACAAACCAATTTCAGCTGTTGTCGGCACGGGCACACCTTTGTTCCCTACAGTTAGTTCTCCACTCTCCCTGCAAACTGTCACAAATTCCACACAAGAGGTCTGCCAGGAACACAGTATGAAATGTGTAGTCCCTGTCTTTAACTGGAGGCTTTTTTATGCCTTGGTCTGTGTTTTTGACACCGTGTGTCATTTTTGAAGTGTCAATTCTGTCAACTGATTTTCCTATTTTCCTTCTGATCACCGGTTTTTGCACTGTCCTTCTCATTGGGAGTATTTTGGACAGTAATGCCTTACCGTATCTTGCCCTTGTCTTCGATGATGGCCCCTTGACAGGGGTTTTCCTGGAATTCCATTGTCGTGAAGACGACTGAAGAACTGACTTAGAATTGTCATATGTCCGTCGTGAAGACGACTGGTTTGGTATTAGTCTTAGCTGTGAAGATCTGGGTGAAATTAAGCGGCGACTTGCTGAAGGATAAATATATTGGCTATCAAGCTAGGTTTTAAAGTGTACATATATATAGTCGTTTTAAAATTAACACTTGATTTTTTTAATATAGTGTTCAATGAAAACACAAATTTAAGAAACAAGTAACTTGACTTTTATCTTTTTCAGAAGAAAAAGACATATGATGATTTTAGAAGTACTTCTAATTTTCCTGATTATTTAACAAACAAATGAAAAAAATATGACGATTGATTTTTATTGTACAAACAGCGTTTGGTGTATTATAAAAACAAGCATAAAAAGAAAGTATAACATTATATAATTGCTATAGTCTCTCTTACCCTGCCTCGTATTAGTTTGCGGCGATAAATGAAATCCAGAACAGATGTTAATGTTCCATAAAAAGCATAGAAATAACAAACTAGTCTGCTTTAGGAAATCCATTTCGGACACAGCGGCACGTGAATTTTTAAACAGATGTTCTCATTTCGCTTCTTATGGAAAAACCATAGTCCTGCACATGTGAACAACCGAAAAAAATTCAAGCATCCGCGACAACTGCAGCGTAGTTTTTATGTTCTTTGTCCTGTTAGAAATGACACCTTTATCATGGACAGAGGTTCAAAGACAGGTGATCTCTCCGGCCCTCTCAGTTCGACAGGTAAATGCTACGACACATCATTATTATACAACATGTTCGTATTAGTCACTGGTCCTAATTCGACTTACCTACTTCTATTTATATATATATCATAAAAGGTAAATTGCCAAAAGTGTCCTCTAAGCGTTGCATTTAAAATATGGTCCATTAAAATTTAAGGCTCGTTTTGTGTTGTCTTAAATGAAGACGTTGATTGGCGACGTTTATTTGAAAGTTGCGAAATAAGGTGAATGTGGGATTAATTACGCAGCAATAGCATACGATTACGCAAACGTGCAGATATATCCATCAATAACTTTGTTTGCGGTTAAACGTTTTTAAAAATCTTGACCTAATACAAAATAAGGAACTGCATGTAATTTCCTTTGATCCATAGTGAACATAAGATTATTCTTATGACGTTGAATTGTTATTATATTTTTTTTCAAATTGTTTTGCCATACGTACGTATTTTGTATTAAGCATGCACATTTTCTTCACATGAATGTTCCTTAATGTAAATAAGTATTAAATATAACAAATGCACAATGTATAATTATAATAAATTGAGCTTGTTAGATGATGTTAATAAGTTCCTATGTAACCAGGGTATGTTTCAGTTGTCCGTTGCTTATGAAATGAACACCCTGTGTCTCAAATGAATAAAGCCTTAACGAATTAAAACAAGAGGAACAGGGGTCACAACGCTCACCTGAGAACATCGGCTAGGAAAAAGCACATATCAGATCAGAACTTAAAGTTTACTGAGGTGGGGGGGAGGTTTGAATTTTAACCCCCCAGGGGGTCATGATTTGAACAAACTAGAATCTACACTACCTGAGGATGATTCCATATAAATATCACTAATCATGGCTTTGAAGTACTTGAAAAGAAGATTTTAAAAGGTTTCCCTATATATTCCTATATAAAACTTTGGTCAGCCATTGTGGCCCCACCCTAGCCCGAGGGTCATGATTTGAACAAATTTGAATCTACACTACCTGAGGATGATTCCACATCAATTTCATCTTTCCTGTCTCAATGGTTCTTGAGAAGAAGATTTTCAAAGATTTTTCCTATACATTCCTATGTAAAACTTTGATCGGCCATTTTGGTCCCATCCTACCCCCAGGAGTTATGATTACAAATTTGAATCTACACTACCTGAGGATGTTTCCATATGAGTTTCATCTTTCCTGGCCCAGTGGTTCTTGATAAGAAGATTTTTTAAAGATTTTTTCTATATATTCCTGTGTAAAACTTTGATCTGCCATTTTGGCCCCACCCTACCCCCGGGGGCCATGATTTGAACAAAATTGAATCTACACTACCTGAGGATGATTCCACATGAGTTTCATCTTTCCTGGCCCAGCGGTTCTTGAGAAGAAGATTTTTTAAAAATGCCATTAATTTTTCTCTAATTCATATTTATCTCCCCTTGGAAAAGGGCGTGGCCCTTCATTTGAACAAACTTGAATCCCCTTTACCCAAGGATACTTTGTAGCAAGTTTGGTTGAAATTGATCCAGTGGTTCTTGAGAAGAAGATGAAAATGTGAAAAGTTAACAACGACGACGACAGACAACGGACAAATTTTGATAAGAAAAGCTCACTTGAGCCTATGGCTCAGGTGAGCTAAAAAACACATACATTTGCTGCTTTAATTTAGACATGAAAGAAAGTAGACGACATATATATTTATTTACACACTGTATGATGAAATTCACGCGGCATTAATGAATTACATTTACTATTTTTATTCATTAATGTAAAATAGTAAATGACATTGCTATTTATAAAACTGTGTTTGGTGTTTGTTTATGCCTATTACTTTATGAATGTATAAGATGAAAGAACTCATTACCCATAGTCTTTAAATATAATAAAATACGAGCCTCGTCGGATAGAAATCGACCTTATGGCAAAATTTATCAAATTTGAGATTTTTGTGTATTTTAGTGGTCCCTGTAAAATCACGACAAAAACTGAAAACGGAATCAAAGTATCTTCATTTATAACAAAGTAATTACATTTTGAAATTGGTATGTTTGCAAAATTAACTCTAAGCATATCGCAGTTTCTTCACGATTCAATTGTGACGTCATGGTTTATTCTCAGTTGTTTGGTAGGGGCACCTGTTATCGCTTAGCAATCCAAGTGTTCATCATGTCTAAGTTAAATAAAATGCTTCATTAATGACAAAAATGTTTAAGGAATGACTCTAATTCTTGGCCAAATTATTGTGTTACGCTTTATAATCCGCGAAGCGGATTATAAAAAAGCGTAAATAAATTTCTTATAATTTAATTTTAAAATAATTAAACAACTGGGGGTGTAAAATTGTGTTGTTTTTATGAGTTCAAATTTACCGCGCAATAATACAACCGTAGTAAAAGTGATGGGAAGCGAGGGGAGGTAAAAACTGATACATAGATCTAGCAGCCATGAAGCTACTGTTTGAAGTTAAAGGTACATTCATTAAATCTGGAATTTTCCATGAATCCCAAGGACTTGAAATGAGGGGATTGATGGATACAGATAATTAAGCTGGTTGTCAAATACCAAACCAGATTATACAAAATGTTATGCGTTCCTTTTTGGAAATCAACCAATGAGAGGCAAGAATACAAACGAAATTAAATTATTTGATCATAATCTACAATCCCCAAAATTGTGTTCACTGTATTATAAATCCTTTAAAAACTGAATAATTATTCTTAAGTTAGATTTAAAAAAAGCACATCAATTTGTATATACATGTAGTGATAACGTGAAATCAAACATGGAGTGATACTAGCCTTGTGTCTCAAAATTGACTCATTCTATTAGGATTTTTCCTAATACTAGTACTGTTTCTACTGCAGCCACATTCTACTGTGCCTTACATTAGCCCCCTCTCCCAATAAAAACCCCATCGTCTTTTTATCAAAATTCTATTATCCATAATGTACAAAAATAAATAAGTAAAATTAATAGAATATCATTTTAATCAGTATACAGATCATTGATTGATTGATTGATTTTTATTTTCATCATTTCCTAAAACTAAGACTAAATGCTTGCATGCTCACCATTGACGTCCCTGAGATTTCATTGAGTTGCCTAGTTGCTTTTTAGTCAATTTATTTCCCGTTAAACATGCTTCCTTTTTAAAACTATTATCATTTCTATCATTTTGAAATATATTTTAGGGTATTTAATTGAGTTATATGTTATGTGGTTCAGACTAAATTTCGGGTATATTTTTAAATGCATATTGCTACATGCATATTTTTTTGTAGAACGAAAAATTTGTCTTAATATGTATGCCTAAGTTTAAGCAAGTGCTTAATAATAAATGAAACACTTTTTTAAAAATAAGCAAAGTTTGAAAACTAAAAACACATACATATCGTACATATTATATACAGCTCTTTTATATTGAAGGATATCAGAATAAGAATTCCATCGTAGACCAGTGCACTGATTAAGTTCAGATGATCGTGAGCTAACCTTTATCTGAGTAACAACCTATAAATGTCAAAAATCATATAAAAGATATGAAGGTTTATCAATTCACAGCTTGATGATGGGCAATAAGTGCACACTGGTACTAGGCATGTCAATTAAGGTTTATTAGAGGTAATTAAATGTGAATTGTGTCATTTATAATTGTTTAAAAATATTAAGAACATAGAATTAAAATTATTCAATGCCATCAAAACGAAACTTAATATACGTCTACGCATTTCTGTGTTGTGGTTTCAGACATATGATTGATATACAATCGAAAATTAGCACAACTCATTTAGAACCAGTGGGGAAAACAGTGTTTTATAACATTGAAACATATTTTGATTAAAATAAACATTTTTTTTTATTCTGAATTGAAAATCAAAAACATTTCAGCTTATTTCATGAACAGTTAAACTATGAATAACATGTTAATGCAAAGTCTTGAAAAACCACATTTCAATAAATTAAATAACAAATTACACAATTACTAAAATTTGGAATTTTCTCTTTCCGACCGTGGATTATTGCACTGGATGAAATATTCAATACATATATTTGATAATAAGATATTTGATAGAACCTATCTTTTTTTTAATCCCTTCTTTGTTGTCTCTATTGAAATTAGTACTATTACTTTATTTTGTGTTTCTTAAAGTTATTTCTGTCAATAATGAGTGGAGTCTATAAAAACCAAAATATTGATTGTAAGCAAAATTGAAATGAAATCTCTCATTCTTTTCAAAATAATTTACAAGCCAATGTTTTTTTTTATAACTTGAACCATGTTTCATTCATTAACTTTGTTTACGTATGGTAATTTATGCAGAATATCTTTGTGTATTTTCGTCCTTGAACTTGGTTTCTTTGTTTCCAGATGAAGGTTAATTATTACCTGGAGGCTAAGTAAGAAGTAATTCAGCTATCTCCCTATAACAGGGAAGTATGACTAGCAACGACAAAGGGCATAGTTGTAAAAAGTCTGGAAACGAAGAAAATATATATATATCCATCACCTCTGTACAAATATAAGAGTAATTTAGCATCTGCAAATCAATATGGGAAAATACAACGTTAAAATCTCTTTTCGACATAGTTAATTTAAAAATAGGTCGTATAATATCCTTATTGTCTCGAGAGTTGGAGTTTACCAAATAAATTATTATTTTTATTTAAATTACTGGGTATTACTTTTATTATACCAAATAAAAGTAATCTTCGATCTTTCTGGCAAAAACAATATATTTAATTCTAAAATAAGTATAATACACAGATAAACACTTTGCAGCTAATTTATTTTCCCTTGTAAAACAATGCTTTGTATATTTAAAGATTATTTACTGAGTATATTTAATACATGATTGGATAATTCTTAGCTCTTTGATTGGCTTAGAAGCGTCATCTGAAATTGGTCGGAAAATTCCAAATTGAAAAATTGGTAATTTTATTTACTCCAGTAATTATTTTATTTTGATAATAAATGATAAAGGGTTCAAGCAGTAATAAAAACATCATAAAGTCAAGAAAGATAGCAATTTTTTTTTCAAGAACTATCATTTGATTATTGAATCATATAATGAAATAATGTGTTTTTAGGTCAATACGATGATTTAACAAACTTTGAAATAAAATTTTCTTTAGACTGAATCAAATATTGAGATAACAAACAGAAGTCCAGCGCAAAAGTCTATCATAATATTACAAATAGCAGAAAATCAAACACAGACCTCTAAAG